TTGCACGCATTTAAGTCGCTTTGCCTTTTAACCGCATTTACATAACTCAAACTCCCTGAGCTCAGTCAACGCATTATATCGTATGTATGTATGTAATATATTTGCACGCTTGTATCTTTCATTGTTTGTGGGCCAACCATTTTAATGAGCCCTTTCAAATGTGGGTCGAATTCCTTGCTTTTGGATTTTAATGTTCTTGTTGTTGTGTTTTTCTAATTCCGCGTATACCTTTGGAATTGTAATTAATTGCGTGGTCTGGCTTCACCTTAGCTCAGCTCTGGCTGGATTTTGATTGCTTTGAGTAAGCGAAGGATAAATGGCATTCTGCCGCGCATACATGAGTTCTTGCTGCGTATTATATATATATATTTGTGTATATATATCATATCTACAACATAATATATTTTTGTATGCTCTGTTATAATTGCTGGCGCGGTCTTCACATTACTTTGACTTTATTGTTTTAGAATGTGGAAAAATATGAATGTGCTATCAATATGGAATCTGAAAGCTTTTAGGTCTTCACTTGACTAAAGTATAATGTGAAACGGCTTATTCAAAGTATCTCTCTCCAAAACTGTTGTGAGATAATTCGTGGCGTCGTCGTTTTCTCCGCTCTTTAATTTTTAGGCTTTTAGGTTCACTAAAATATAAAAAGAATAGTTGTGTTTAGAAATGTAGGTATCTACTGCATCCAGTTGAATACTTCTGGTTTTAACGGTTAGTATCTACGGAATACCAGTGCAATTGGTTTGACTCAGAAAATGTCGTTAAGGATTATATGTCGAAAACAACAACATACTCAGACATACGAATTATATGAGATGGTAGATCTACAAAATATATATTATGTGTATAACACATTAGGTGGGCCAAAAAATCTTTTTGCTTGGTACTCTGAAAATAGTTTTAGATACCTCTAGAAAATCTCCAATTCAGACCTCATAATTGTAACGGTAAGGCCTTTCGCTTATTATCAGATAGAAATATTCTGCTTTATATTGTAGAAAATTGAGTGAGCTATAAATATCTCAGACGATTTTTCGTCAGCGGAGGACCTTCATTTTACATAAAAGCTCTACTTACAGAGATTTTTAAGGTGTCCAGAACGTATCATTTAGAGTACCAAGCGAAAAATTCAATTTTTACCCACCCAATGTATATGCGAGTATAAAATATTGACGGTTAAAGTTTGATTATTTTAAAGCAAATTTATTACTATATCTTATGAATTTTGTAACTCAAGAAAAATCATAAGAAACCAAAAACTCATATGATTTCTTGATGATTTCTTAGAAATAAAGTGACCGGAGAGGTACAATATCGGACTATATAATAATATCCATAATTCCTGAGCTATTATGTATGTTCAAATAAGCTTAGAATATTCACCGATATTTCTTCATTCACATTTTCCACATTTACAAAAAGAAAATGTTTAAACGAAAATAATTATACAATACGATTTTCAAAGTACATTACACATATAAAAGCCGTTTTCATTGCTGCTTACCACCCTCAAAATCAAATCCACCGTTTTCGTAAATCCATTTAGCGTTCAACTTCAAAACATTTCCAATATTGTCGTTGTAAAGCGCACTTTAAAAGCCATGTTTAAAGCTACTTAAACTTTTCGAAATTTTCACAAAGTCATTATTTCATTATAAATTTATTATAGAAATTTTACACAGCTGCGAAACGGATGGCGGCGTCAAAGAACGTCTAATCTAACTGCGCGCTTGTTGTTGCAAGTAGTCAAGCAAGGCAACAAATACGCGCAACAGCAACAAACGGCAAAGGCAAAGCGAGTAAAAACTTTGTCGTTTGTTTTGTCATTTATTAATTGTTTAAAAATGCGTGGCACAGCTGCTAATTTACGCGGGGTGGCGGGCCAGATTAACTGCGTCAACTACATATTTGAGGTGTATGAAGCCATCACAATTGTTTGTGTGTGTCACCAAAATCATTTCTAGAGGGTTAAGTGTGTACGCAGAGGCTGCTCAGCAGCAAGCAAGCTACGTACGGACCATAAAGTTGAAAACAAGTTTTCGCGTGCTCAGATCATCGAACCTGTAGTGGTGGCAAGAGCTGGTGCGATGTGTTGTGCTGGAAGACTACGAAACTGGTTGCCACAATTTGATAGCACGCCAAGTCCAAGTCTGATATGCTAATGAGGTGAAAGACAGCCATTTTAAAATTATGACAATTAAGTGGGAATGGCAATGAACGGCGGATTTTAATGGTGCTTTTATGTAACATTAATGGTAGACTACCTGCTAAAGAGGAGAATTTATTAAAGTTGATGATTTGTTTATAAGATTTTTATTACTTGTTAGTATTCTCTACGCTAATAGCGGACTCAACTTTTACTTGCTTCGAGTAAAAATATATATTTATATCGTTTTAATTTTTATTGCTTTAAAAAGTGCTTTGAACTTGGTAGAAGCGGCTAAAATACTGACAAATCTTTTTTAGTATACCGTTATTTAGTAAAGCACGTACAATAAGCTCATTTCGTTCCAATAATTTCAGTATTTTCCAAAAAACAAAATTCTTCTTTTGATACTTTTGAAACAATTAACGGTATCAGTATAACTATTAGGGTAGAGCGAAAAAGAATTTTTTCTTGCTTAGCCTAAAAGTCAAATCTGTAGATTATAAAAAAAAACGAAAGTTTTTGGACAAAAAAAAAATTTTTTTGACATCAAGGCCCACACACTTTTTAAGTAAATTTTGAGTTAAAATTTTTATTTCGTAACTAAAAAAATTTTTTTTTTGGTCCAAAAAAGATTTTAATTCAAAATTTACTCTAAATGTGAGATGTAAAAAAAAATTTTTTTTTGTTCCAAAAAATTTCTTTTTTTATAATCTAATTCTTTATAATTCTAATCTAAAAATTTTTTTTTGCTTCACCCTTATAACTATTTACAGTGGCCATAAGAACACTTTAATCTAAAAAAGTTCATTTTGCTATTCCGAATGAATTCCGCAGCGCTAAAATAAATAACAAAGTTCCTGACAACGAATTTGTGCGCCTCGCTCTCCACTGACTGGAAAATGTAACGCAAATCTATACAAATAAATAACAACGTTTGTGCTTGCTTTATGCCAAAATAATAATTACATACTAATTAGACATTTAAAGTAAAAAATTACATGCAGTAAATCGAATCAATGCAAATGGAGCCCACCGCGCTCATGCACACGCACAAGCATAGCCACATTCGGAGACCAAATATAACAACACGGGCAATTACAGCCAACATTACGCATAATTAGCCCCAACGGCAGGCCTACTAATTGGAGCCAATTGCCCAGCAATCCGGACATTTAGTGCCGCCCAATGGCCATCAAATTAACAAACGCAAATTGTCCGCAAATTAATTACGTTGCTCGCATAGAGCATAAACATTTTATACAAAGCTCGATAACACTCATACACATATATTTACAACAAATGAAATTACAACAAATTATGTATATAAATATGTTTGTGCGCAGTAATTTGTAAAAGCGCCCTCTGGCGTCATTTTCATTTTCATTTTCATGAACACAACATGAAAATCAATTAGCCAAACAGCCAACGTACAAGTCCTCACAGCGCAGCGCAGCGAACTCCCCTTGACCGAGCAGATGGAGTGGCGGTTGAGTGCTGTAAGCCCACTTTTATGTGAGTGTAAGCCAATAAAACGAGTATAAATAAAACGCCCGTCGTGCCTTTGTCGTGGCCACACAGTTGACTTGCCCATACACGGCTAGCTCGTTGCACGTACATAAATCCAACGACCTGTGTTGCTCCCTGGTGTGGGCTGAAAGGCAATCATTACAAATGGGCTCTAAATGCCAGCGCTACCTTGTTGGCAATTTTGTCAAAGTGTGTGTGTGTATGTGTATGTGTGCGTACTGATGGTGGTGGCAATCACCCACAATGCCTCAACCAAATCTCAAAGGTCTGTTTTAGTTACCTTACAGCGGCGCTAAACCGCACTCATAAAGCTGTGACAACGGGGGTTGTACTCTGCAACTGGTTGACGCTTCTGACGTGCTCATGCTACCGACCCTTTGCGGCCTACGCTGCTTTGCATGCTTTGTTCCGTGCTTTCGACCAATTAATGTCACCCCATTATTAAATGATCCCTAATTATGTGAAATGATTTTAGTTGGGAGTAAATGCTCAACACAGTTATTTAAATTGGCAGCAGAGGGTAGCGGAGAGCTGGAGTTGGGCTGGCTATTTTTCTAGCACAAGTATTTATGTACGGCTTCCGAACTCTTCGATAATTAAAGAAAATTATTTTGAAGAATGCAGTGTGAGAAGGTGAAGTTTTAACTACGGGTTTCCATAGTCTGAAATAGTTTAAAATATTTGTAGAAACTCTAAATCTCAATACGCTTCGTATGTAGCTAAACTTAAGTGACCATATATGTCCCGGCAAAATCCGGAACGGTTTTTTTTAGTCATCTATTATTTCCATATTATAACGCACTGAAAATCGCGACATATAATACTTGCAGGTCAGAGAGCAACACAATTTTATTCAATTCATTCTGTTTTTTTTTTTTTGAATTTCTAAGCCCGTAACACACTAATTAGATGTAGAAACTCAGAAATCTAAGACATTTTTGTAATTTCCAGTAAACTGCTGAAGATTTTGGGCTCTAAGAAAGAGGAATAAAAATCGCTTAGCTTTCCGAATAATTATTTACGGTCCAGAATTTTTTTCGGTCTTGACTAGCTCGGTGACTGCGTTGTCCATAGTATTAGTATAGCATTAGTCGAAATTCACTTAAGAAACCGCCCTTTCTCACGGTATTAACCCTCTAAGATAGCTTTCGCCATTTTTTTCGAAAAATTATCTTAAACCAGTCGTTTATTTAAATATTTCTCTTATAATACCGGCAACTTAATATAACAATTTTCAATACAATACATATTCAGTATAGAAAGTTAAATTTAACGTAATATAAGCTAAAAATTTTTGTTTTCCTCTTATTTCCAGTGTCGGCGAGTCTCTCACAGGCGCATCAACACCATCAAAGCAACGACAAGGATGGCAAGAAGAAGCACACCCGCCCAACATTCAGTGGTCAGCAAATTTTCGCGCTGGAAAAGACATTCGAACAGACCAAATATCTGGCCGGACCAGAACGGGCGAAACTCGCCTATGCCTTAGGGATGACCGAATCGCAAGTGAAGGTGAGTTAATACAAACATATATATGTATGTAGTACAAGGGGTAAATATTTATTAGAATTGGACGCTCACAGTGTTAAGCACTACTAAGCTTCGGGCATGGGAAAATATATATAAAATGAAATATAAAAACTAGAAATACAGAACCGTTACTATCTAACAAGGCAGCACATTAAAAAATCCAAAATTCTTTTTTATTATTGTTTTTGTAAAGGCGCATTTTTTTCAAGACATGCAGTTTTAACATTTAAAAGAGATAAGACACAGATAAAACGAAATATTCACCAACAACCACAACCAAAAAATAATATTTAAAAAAAATCAGAATCAGAGGCATTGAAGGTGTATAAATATGTACTCGTACATATGTAAGTAGAATCCCGTAAGCGCTGTTAAAAGTGGGTAAAGAAATGCAAGTGAAAAGGAAATGCGTGAAAGGCGTTGAAAAATTTGCATTTTTATTGAAAGGCAAATCCGAGTGGATTTCGCTGCGAATAAAGCGAATGAAGTATGGCTCGCAAAAGTTTTGGCGATTGCCAGAGCGCACAGTGCCGGAGGTGGTGTGGAATATTGTGCACACAGAGCACACATTCTCATATGAAACTCGCGTATTTGCCATGAAAATGGCGGCCACAACAACAAACCGCCCACATACACGTTTGTATGTGTTTACTCGTGCCACTCAAGGTCCACCGACGCCGGCGAAACTGCTGTGGCTGGCGGCTTCATCGTTTTCATGCGCTTCATTTTGCGCTAACCTTTTATGCGCATTTTATTACATTTTTCATATCTTCAGTTTGTTTTTTGCTGTTGTTGTTGACTGCTAACTTGTATTCGGTACGCCGTCGCTGTCGCCCGGGATTACGCGGGTCGCTGTGGCTGCTGCGGGTGCGCGCTTTAAACTCATAATACCCTATAATACGCGCCGCATGTCTAACTTTACCAAAAGCTTTTTTCTTAACATTTTGTTTTTTTTTAAGTTTTTTATTTAAAATCTAAAATCCATGCAGACACTGCCGTCGCTTGCCACTTAATGTTGAAATCCACAAGCTTCCGGTGAATGAATGCGCAGTCTAAAATGCTTCAATGTATTTCCATTTTATTTTTTCATTTTTTCGATTACTTTGAAGGGGATATGTGTTGTCGCATTTTATACCGTTAAACACAAATCCCTTTGTCGTCAAATTTGTTGAGCATTATTGTGGGCATGTCAGTCGCTTTATAAATGTTGCCGATTTGTGGGACTTGTCAGAGATAGCGGTGTGTATCATTGTCTGCGTGTGTGTGTGTATGAGTGAGCCACACGTGCGAGGGCTTTTGTGCGGTTGTGCTGATGTTGTTGCATGCATATTTGTTGTTGTTGTTGTTGTTGGCAACTATTTACTGACTTTTCTTTGTCCCCGCCGCGCATGTTCCGTTATTTAACTTAGTCCTAATCCGCGCATTTAATTGGTCTCGCCTTTGCTGCCGGTATGCCTGTCACACACATACGCACAGACATGCAAATGCAAATGTGCCATATATATGCATATGTATACACTTCAAAACTGAATGAGGATAACTGTAATATTGACTGCTTGCAACTTATACTTCAATTGTGCTGCAATTATGTGATTTTTTTGCAGGCATGGGTGTTATTGAGCGAAAATGGAGTGCAAATGCCAAATATACATTTTTAAACGAAATTCCACACAATTGTTGTACACACCAATTAACATTTTTCTGCATAAATCATCGGTAATTGCATCGGCTGTGGGCGGTTTTTGCATTGAAATCTGAAATTAAGCGTTTTGAAAGGTGCAACAGTGGTTTCTTAGTAAAACATTAGGGTGCGTCTTAAATTTTTTAATGATAGGCAAGTGCATAAATATAACTTTTAAGGAGTTATATGGGTTTTACGCCTTCAAAAAACAATGTTGTCATATATATTTCTATCATCTCTAGAATATTGTCCTAAATTCTCAAGTTGATACCAGCAGTTTTGAAGATACAGCTTTGAAAAGTTGCGTGCTCGAGGTCAGCTATATACTAGAGTGGAGAGAAAAAAATGTTTGTTTTTTTGCTTAGCCTGACGGTCAAATTTGTAGATTATAAAAATAAGAAAATTTTTGGAAAAAAAAAATTTTTTTAACATCACTTTTAAATTAAAGTTTCGAGTTAAAATTTTTATTTCGTAAAAAATGTTCGATAACTGTTCTGGAAGCTGTGGAGAGTTCTCTTGCTGGCCAATTAAAAGTTATCAACTTAAAAAAAAATTTTGTGGTCATTATTGGAGTTTTAAAAAATGTTTTAAACGACAACATTATTTCCTGAATGTGAAGAGTTTAAACCAAAGAAAGGTGTTTTTGTCCAAAAAAAAATTTAACTCGAAATTTACTTTAAATTAGATTTAAAAAATTTTTTTTCCCAAAAATTTTCTTTTTTATAATGTACCAATTTGCGTGTCCAAAGTCGGTTGTCAACCGATCTTAATGAAATTTTACACAGGTCTTTGAGATATAATTTATAAGGTCTTGCCGCGGAGGATTTTTTTCAATTACAACTATTTAAAAAACAAAAAGCGTCGAGAAATGTTCACCAAAATCTGCATGTTTTTGTGAAAACGTCTGCCAAAAATATAATTTTCACTTTATTTGTTTTTTCTCCGTCCAAAACCGAGTTAATGATCTTAGTTCAAACACCTCTTTTGTTTCTTTTTTACTTTTTACAGAAGTTCTGCTCTCAACGCGAAAGCACCTTTTTTCCGAGTTACTGCCGGAAATCATTTCGTATTGGCCGATTTTTGAATATTTTCCTTTGAAAATTTGACAAAATTTTTATCAAATATGTATCTTTGGAGTAATAATAAATTTGAATAAAATATTAAATTTTTTATATGAAAAAAATAAAAATTATTTAAAATAGAGCTCATGTAACCCTTTAAAATAATTAACAATGGCATGAGATAAAAACAAATTTTTTTTGTTTTTATTCAAATTTTAGGAGTAGATTTTTTAGATAAAATGAGGAGAATCAACAAACATATTGTTATATTTCAAATAATAAAAAAACAGCATAATATAAAAGCAAATAATAAATAAAAAAGCATAAAACCGAAAAACCTCAGAATATTCAAGAAAGCCAAAACTATCTTGAAATTAAAATGCCTTATTTTCAAATCAATTTAATACTCTGCTTTCTACACCAATATTTTGAGTATATCATTTTATTTGCTTCGCAGGGGGATATGTGAAAATCACATGAAAATTATATTGCAGTATTTTATAATCGCTATAACCCACTAGTACAAGCAAAAATGTGTTTATAAGAATTTTTAAGATCTCTGCAAAGCAAATAAAAATTTAATTTGTATATTTTAGCTTATGCTTAAGCTTTATGCTTATAATTATACCAAATAAAGTGCTTTTCTAACCCTTCCGTTGTAAAGTTTTTTTTAAAAAAGTTTATATATTTTAATTTATAATAAAAGTATGCCGGTTGTAAATGCCAAAATTTTTAAAAGAAGCTTATAAAATATCATAACAATATTAACTGCGACTTTTTTTCACGAAATAGCTTTTTTATAAACCTAAATACAACTATATTTATTAAAATCTCTTAATTTCCAAACAGTTGCTCTGAGTTAGCAGTGTAAAGCAAAACAAACGCAAATGTCATATTTTACAAAGAAGCTTTTCAATTGAGCTCTGCGCAGTGGCTAACGGCATTTTCTGTATTCAAAACGTGCTCGAGAATTCATATCATCAACACAACTCCCGACAGTCATTAATAATAACAGCTAAAACAAGGCAAAAAGCTACAAATGGCTCGCAATTATACATTTACACGCATACATACTAACATGTACACATCCACACATACATACATACACACATAGTTATGTCAAATCTGAGTTACGGCATAAAATCACAACGTTATGAGCATCATTACTTTCATTGCATGGCGTTTTGATGTCTAATGTGTATTTGTTGTTGTTATTATTTGTGGCAAAACAACTGCTGTCCGTGTGTGTGTGTGTGTGTGTGCTTACAAATGGTTTTAATTATGCTAACATGCAATTATTCTTGTCAAGATCATTTCTCATATTATGAAAGGCTACCACACAACCGTTAGTTGCATTGGTATTGGTGCTTGTTGGCGGTGGTGGCGCTTTTCCAAGCAGCCACCCACTAGTGGTCACTGCATGTCTGTATGTTTGTTAAATTGTTAAGCAAGCGCCCATTTGCACGCATACGCTCACGCTATTGCTAGTTTTTTGTAGTATTTACTACACACATGCATACACATATGTATTGTATATATGTAAGTAAGTATGTGTTTTTGGCTGTTCGTCTCGCTGCCATATTAACTAATTTGCATATGCAAGCTGTCTATATCCGGGCAATAGCCGGACGTTTGATGCGCCCAATTGCTATTGTTTTTGTCACAATTTGCATACTATCGCATGCCAGCATGACACCGTTACACAGGCTAGCCTACAAGCATGCAAGTAATCTGTAAGGCAAAAACATTCATTCATGAACATCCTCTGTGCAATTCACCGCTTTTTATGTGCATAAAACACACATATGTGTGTGTGCGTGTATGGGTCGATATCATTCTGCTTCCGCTGCCCACACGCTTATACGCTTACTAATTGAATATGTATGAAGCGTCTCGCTTCGGTTACGCCAGAATAGCTAATAGATAAACCAATACAGTTACATACATATAGCATATATGAATGTGTGTGTGTGTGTGTCTGTGCGTTGAGTACACTTGCCATTGCCGTATTTTTAATTTACAGCCAAATTGTTGCCATCGTCCTTTCGCACTCATTATGTTGTGACATGCAAACACATACACACACATACTCATACACATGCATAGTTGCCCGCTTCAGTGTGGTCCATTTGTCGCTGCAGTTGTCGCACTCAGCCCATCTTCGTCATTTGCTCACCATACTCTGCCTCTGTGCTCATCCTTGGCATTCATTAAGCCATTCACTCATCCATTCATCAAGT